GGCCGGCACGAAAATCCGCGCACTTGGTACGCCGTCGTTCATTGAGATCGTCGCGCTGGTCACGGAAGACGTCTCGGCGCAGGCGCGCCAGGTCTTGGCGGATGGCGGCGTGCGTCCGCTAAGTGTCGCCGCCTGGCGGCGCACGACGGGTGGCCAAGAATACATCGTGTCGCTTACAAAGCTGCGCATCTTCCAAGAGCTCGGGTACGATCGCGTCATCTACATGGACTCGGACGTGATCGTCGTGAAGAACCTCGACGAGCTCTTCAACCTGCCGCACGCAGTCTTTTGGGCACCCCGTGCCTACTGGCTCGAGGACAAGCAGCCGCATATCACGTCGGTGTTGCTCGTCGTGGACCCGGACAATACGCTCTTCCAGCATCTCGAGTACGCCATTGAGAATGAGGTCCAGGTACTCTTCGACATGGACGTTCTCAACGAAGCGTGGCGGCATGTGGCCGGCATCCTTCCCTCCGAGTTCATGGTGCTGACGGCGAATCTCAAGGAAAATGTGGACAGGTACCTCTTTGGTTACAAGTCGCTCGACGACCGCGTCAACCATACCTACATGTATCATTTCTCGGGCGGGCACAGCAAGCCGTGGTTGATGGACTCGGACACGATCGAGCGCCAACCAGATGTCATCCCGCTCTACTACGATCTGTACCTCGAGTACTGGGCCCAGCGACGGGCCGTATGCTCCTTTCTGCGATAACTTGTGAACGCGATATTTTCCTGGAAGCACCTTGGTCGTACCAGCCGACTACTACGTCGTACACGTCCAAAACGGGGTTTGGGTAGACATAAGTCGTCGTACTGTACCAAGTTTTGAGCATTGCCGACGAGACTCGATGCGATGGAGACGCGGTTGCTCCAGAGAATTCCCTTGGTGCGTCCCCAGATCTCGTTGCGCCATATCTACGACGACCTACTTACTGCTCGTTGTGGCGTCTCGAGGTCTTACGAGCCCCATTGGAAAGACAGAGCTTCCTAGCGCACCATTGTATTCTACCCGGTGCAACAACCTTCCAAACCGGGATTTTAGTTTCTTGCACAACACGTCAAGCTGTGGTTCTGCACCAAGGCTATATCGTGTACTAGAAATTGCAGCGTTTTGAGCACCACGACGGCAGCCACTCGTGCCCTCGCCTTGTTGTACTAGGAAGCGTGGTATGCATATTTACATCCGGAGCCGTGCTCGCTACAATAATATAAACGCACAGATTGACTTAAAGTGTTAATCCACAGACGCCTTGCAGTCTGATTACCACGGCAGCAGCACGACAAGAAAGTGCTTGCGCATGGCGCTGGCTGCTAAAAGTCGAGGCCGTCGACAAGCGACGAGCGGGCACCGTCGTACACCGGGGCATACTGGCCTTCCACGCAGAGCTCAAACGACTTGACTTGCATGGGTTGGAGCGTCACAGTCGTCGGCGACAGCTCCTTGACCGCGTTGGCCGTGAGCGTGAGCTCCTTGACCGTGACATGCTTCTCGCCAGGCACGAGCTGGAGCAGATCCACGGACGCCGGCTTGGACCACTCCTACTCAAAAGCCTCGGTTTTGATGGAAAGGTTGGGACAGGGTTAACGCACCGAGTGCTCGTGGATGGCAAAGAGATGGCTTAGACGCACGAGGCGGCAGCGCGGGTGCGTCCAGTGCAACGCCGTGAGACCAATGTTAGCTGGCCATTGCAGGTCGCCAAGCGGCGTCGACTCGACAAACTCGCCCGAGCCGGCGCGAAGGGCCACGAGCGGCGGAACAAACTGCGTATACGTCGTCGTGCGCAAGCGCTCGATCGCTGCTTCGTGCGACCCCACACTCACGTAAAAGTGACCACGGACCGTAAGGCCTTGCGTGTGCGGCTGGTTGGTGGTCAGTTGAATCTAGCATCCAGTGTCATCGTTGAGTGGATGGCAACATCGGTGCTGTACCGTCTCGGTCTCGTTGAGCGCCTCACTGACACCGAGGTGGTCATCGCCAAGCAGGCGGCGGTGCACCATCACATCCAGTTGACCTAAATCGCAACGTCTGTGAGCGATTCCCATCATTGATGGGAGTACTGTACCATCTTTGAGGCTCGCGCAGCCCTGGGCGCGGTCCGTGAGGACGTTGAGTTGCACTTTGTCGTCCCGGAGGTAGGCGCCGGTCGTGATGGGCACATAGTTGGCAGCGACGCGCTCCTCGTCGTTGTGCAGCG